TCGATTCAAAAGGGTTACCGTTGCTACTCTCCGACTTTACGTCGATACTTTATCTCTGCAGAAGTCTCCTTCTCTGAATCAGTCCCCTTTTTCAGCTATACTTTTGCTCCTGTAGACCCTGATCAGTCATCTCTTCCTGTCGACTCCTTTGAATATCTTCTGCATTTTCCTGTCCCTGTGACTAACTCTCATTTCGTCAACTCTTCTCCTGATGATTTACAACATATTTCACTGATGTTTCTGTGGGCTCGCATCCAGCTGCATCTTCTCCCTCGGCTTCGATCCACATTCTGCTAGTGACTTTCCCATTGCTCTCTGAAAAGGTACCCGAGAGACTCGTCCTCCAGCCAGGTATTTAGTTAATATTAGTTACCATCCTTTATCTCCATCATATTTTGCATGTCTTTATTTTTGTCTTTTGTGTCTATTCCTCAGACTAAAAGTGAAGCATTTTCACATTTCGGATGGAGAGAGGCTATGATTGATGAAATGAGTGCTCTTAAGCACAATGACACATGGGATCTGGTCCCTCTTCTTTCTGGAAAATCTGTTGTTGGTTGCCGTTGGATTTATGCTGCTAAGGTTGGTCCTGATGGTCAAGTGGATTGTTTTAAAGCTCGCTTGGTGGCTAAAGGTTTAACTCAAGTGTTTGAACTAAATTTTGGTGGCACTTTTTCTCTTGTGGCGAAGATGTCTACTGTTTGCCTCTTTATTACCATGGCTGCTATCCGCCAATGGCCTCTTTATCAACTTGATATTAAGAATGTTTTTCTTTATGCTGATCTTGCGGAGAAAGTTTATATGGAGCAACCTCCTGGATTTGTTTCTCAGGGGGAGTCAGGTCTTGTTTGTCGTCTCCGCAAGTCTTTATATGGTCTCAAGCAATCTCCAAGAACTTGGCTTGAAAAATTTAGCAGTGTTGTTCAACAATTTGGTATGACTCGGAGTGAAGTTGATTATTCTCTCTTTTATCGTCATTCAGCTTTCGGGTCTATCTATTTGGTGGTATATATGGATGATATTGTTATCATAGGTAGTGATAATCATGAGATTACTCAGTTGAAACATCATTTATGTCATCATTTTTAGACCAAAGACCTTGGAAAACTTCGATATTTCTTGGGAATCGAGGTGGCCCAATCTAAAGATGGAGTTGTGATATCTCAGAGAAAATATGCTTTGGATATTCTTGAAGAGTCCGCTTTGTTAAATTCTAAGTCTGTTTATACCCCAATGGATTCAAGTGTCAAGCTTTTACCAAATCAGGTGGAGCCCTTTGAAGATCTTGAGAGGTATAGAAATTGGTTGGAAAATTGAACTACCTCACAGTCACTCGGCCTGACATTTCATTTGCAGTTAGTGTGGTAAGTCAGTTTCTTAATTCTCCATGTCAAGAACACTGGAATGTCGTCATTCGTATTCTTAAGTATATCAAGTCATCTCTAGGAAAAGACCTTGAATATGAAGATAAAGGTCATGTTAAAGTTGTTGAATACTCTGGTACTGATTGAACTGATTGTCCTACTGATAGGAGATCTACTACTGGATATTGTGTCTTCGTTGGAAACAACTTGGTTTCCTGGAAAAGTAAGAAGCAAAATGTAATTGGCAGATCAAGTGCTAAAGCAGAATACCGCTCCATGGCTACTACTACTTGCGAACTCATTTGGCTTAAGCAACTTCTTAGAGAGCTCAAGTTTGGAGGCACTGGACCAGTAATTCTCATTTGTGATAACCAATCAGCACTACACATTTCTTCCAATCCAGTGTTTCATGAAAGAACCAAGCATATCGAAATAGATTGTAACTTTTTTCGAGAGAAGGTCCTTGATGGTGAAATTATAACTAGTTTTGTACCCTCTAATGATCAATAACAGATTATATTTACAAAGTCTTTGAGGGGTCCTCGAAAAGAGTTTATATATAACAAGCTTGGTGCTTATGATCTATATGCTCCAGCTTGAGGGAAAGTGTTGGAAAGAATATCTTTATTATTTGTATATATCTATTTCATGATATGATTAGGATTTAGCTTTGTTCTGCACTAAGCCCATTAGTATTTTTATATATATTGTACACTCTTGTATCAATTCAATACACAGATTTATTTTTGAATGTTCCTTTCGTTTCTTGTTTCTCTACAAAGTAGCTTCCTGTATTCAAGTAAATTGTTTTTCTTTCCCCCCCACTTTCTCTTTGTGCCATGCTATGATGAATCGGTACGGGTCTCAAATAGTTGAATGCTTTCTCGTTGATGAATCGAATCTACTACGATGTCTTTGTTCCCATTCTCACGAGTAGTGAAGGTTTTTGGCAAATTCTAAGGAGATGATATATGTGATGATGCGGCTTTTGTCAAACCAATCGTGCATCATGGTGAGTATAATGAGTCATATTTATAGTTACAATTCCTATTACTGAAACTCCTACAACAGACGAGATTTGAATAGTCAAATGTAAACATGTCATATATATAAATATGGAGTACTTATAAAAACAACAATAAAGAAAGGATATGTTATTCTATCTATTTTTTATTCTGGCTATCTTTATTTATTATTATCCAATATCATTAGATCAAAATCTCATTGTGTTGGAGAGTGATAAACAAAGATACGCATAACATAAGGTAGGTAGAATAACATATCCCATAAAAGTAAACAACAAAGCTCGGCACAATTGATAGATGGCCGAGTCTCTTAAGTATGCTGATAGGAAATCGATCACGGGCCATATGTATGGAAAATGCTTTGTTAGTAGAAACAAAACCCACTTCAATGACCTCTATGCCTCGAAAGGATTAGTATTTAACTGTGAACTGGAGAATATCCTGAAGAAACTAAAAAGAAAAAAAAAAAAAAAACATAAAAGTAGAGTAGCAGCGAAATGCTCAGTTGAGGCAAATCAGGCAATCAAGCCAAGAAACGCGCGGCTTTTACTTTGATTAATGACATTCATAATTTGTGATAATTTTGAATAGTATGTGAGGAATAGGCACATTATATCACTTGATCCTAATTCTTAAGCCAGTATTTTGGTAATTTTACTAATCTATTTGGTTTAATTGTATCCAATTTTATAATTTTAGTGCTAGTATACTAAGGGTGTGCATGACAACCATTCTGTTCGCTGACACTGTTTCTGAAAAGAAATAATTCTTTTCTATTTCTGTGCCTTAGAACAATTTTTGAGAAAAAAAATGTGTTTGATAACATGTTTTATTTTTATTCCGAGAATGAGAAGTGCGTTTGATAACACAACAAATAAAATTAAGCATAATTTTTTTCGGATCATCACTTTTCATTTCATATGGTGTGGTGGTGGTGACGGTAGTGGTGGCGTCATGTTGGTGGTGGTGGAGGTGATGGCATGGTGGTGGTAATGGTGGTGGCAGTGGTGGCAAAAGTGGTGATGGTGGTAATGGCATGGTAGGGGCGATGATGGTGGTGATGATGACATGGTGGTGGCGGTGGTGTAGTGGCGGTGGCAGAGGCTGTGGCATGATAATGGTAGTGGCAGCGGCGGTGGTGGTAATGGCGGTGGCGGTGGCGGCAATGGTAGTGGTGGTGGTGACAACAGTGTCTACGACGATGGTGATGGAGATGACATGGTGGCGGCGGCGGCGGTTGTGTAGTGGTGGCGGTGGTTGTAATGGTGGTGGCGACAGCGACGAAGATGGTAGTAGTGGTGGTGGTGATGGTTGATGACGGTGGTAGTGATAATGGTGGTGGTTGGTGGCGGTGGTAGTGATAATGGTGGTGGTTGGTGGCGGTGGTAGTGATAATGGTGGTGATAGCAGTGTCTACGACGATGGTGATGGAGATGACATGGCGGCGGCGACGGCGGTTGTGTAGTGGTGGTGGTGGTCGTAATGGTGGTGGTGACAACAGCGATGGTGGTAGTAGTGGTGGTGATGATGGTGGTGGTGGTTGGTGACGGTGGTGGTGGAGCTAATGACGGTGGTGGTGACGTGGAGGTGGTGGTGGTACGATGATGGTAGCGGTGGTCGTGTCGGGATGGTGTTGGCGGTAGTGATGATGGTAGTGGTGGAGAGTAATTGAGAGGGATAAGTGTTTCTCATTTTGTGCCCAGGAACAAAAAAGCAGAAATTTTTTGATTCTTTTTTCTGTTCCCCAGCACAAAAAATAAATCGGTTCATCCCGGGAACAAAAAAAAATAAACCGATTTTAACAAACGAGTTTTCTATCCATTTCTGTTCCCGAAAGCAAAAATTAAAAAAAAATGATTCCGGAAAGGTTGTCATCCATACATAAGTTTTTATTACAATTCTGATTAAAAAATGATACTATTAAAATTAAAACTTTCCTTCTTTGCGGATCACGGAATAATAGACCACAGGTCATCGTTGACTATTTGAGTGTTGGGGAACCAAAAATCTGCATCTTTAAACTCTTAAATTCACTAGTGGAAGCAAGACTATATTGCAATAACCATGTCGTATAATATTCTTTATCAAAATGGGAAAGGATATATTTATCATCAATTATTATTTTTTTTTTTACAACTAACCTAATTATAATTGATTTCCGTCAATGTAATGATTAAAATTTATTGAGAATTATTGGATTGTACTTATTGATTAATTATTAATTTTCAATAAAATCAATAAATTATAACCGTTAGATTAACGAGAATCAACGGTGATTAGGTTAATTGTAAATGTCGTGAATATTTTTTGTGGTAAGTATATCCTACCCTATAGTAATTAGGAAAAACTTAATCAGTTAACTGTTGATGCTATGATTATTTCAAAAGTGAATTAACTTTTTGTATTGCAATGCAATTACTCCTTCTAATCTCACTAAAACTATATCTTCATGATTTTAATCCAATTAATTTTTTATTTCCAATTTTCTTTTAGACTGCCATCTCAAAATGCCCTTTTAATCTCATTAGGTTATTTACCATATGTAAGCTATAAAGAACTTAAAAGGTGACTAATACAAATTCATTAAGAAGAGCAGTAAATCCTTGCAGTTCAATGAGGATAGAAAATGTAATGGAATTATCTGCAATACTTACAAAATTGTGGCACTTGGAAATTGTTGCTTATGGACAAAAGAGGAAGATTAGAGCTATTGGTACAACAGATTATAAGCAGGCAAATCTTGCATTCTGTTGATGTCTTCTAAGGATAGCTCTCTCTCCAATTGCATCCGGGTTGCTTGTAGAACCTCCTGAAGCCATGGAATAATTTGTAGAGTCAATGAATTGTTGTGCATTGCAAAAGTTGAAAAGACCAAACATGAGTTTAACGTGTGTTTTGGATAAGTCATTACTAGAACAGTTTCTGAAAAAGGAAGAAGAAATTTGGAATGGAGCTTCTGGATATTAATTTTAAAAGAAGAGTCCTTACTCTCCATTCTCCTGCAAACTCAGTATCAATTTTGGTTCACTAATATGTTTCAAGGTTTTCTCTAAAGCTCGCTCTCTTTATACTCAGAAGAGTTCTAATGTCCTTGTGCTATAATAGAAAATAAAAGTTCTATTGCTATAAGGAAATGTGACCATAAATATTGAAATTAACGAATTGCCAAGAAGATCAATTGTAAATTGTAAAAGGTGGCCTTAGTATCAAAGTCCTTACTAATTCAAAACTCTAATCTAATATGTTTTTCTTTCTTTTCTTTTTTTTCCCATTTTGGAGGCTTAGGAGGGAATGTGGTGGAGATGAACAAAACACAGGGAAAGAAATAATACGTTAAAATCCATGTAGGAAGCATGCATAGCCAGCCATTGCGCATCCATCATCTCAAAAGCTATACAGAATAGAACATCAAATGCTTCTTCATCTTCTGCTGTATCGTGCAATGAAACTTATAAGCATTTGAAGGAGTAAAAAAAAAAAAAAAAACAAGTGGGATTGGTCAAATATATATTATGCAAGCATTTGCACTCACCTCCTAATAGCTTAACAAAATGCATGCCTGGAAGACAACGAGGCTTTACTGCAAAAAAAACATTAAGTTGAAAAGTAATTAGAAAAATGTACTTTGCTTTTCTCACTTTTTGATAAAGGGAAACTTATCCAAATCCAAAAGGTGTTATCATTGTGGATTCTGGGGATGGTCGAATGTACACAATTTCATTGACTAAAGAATGAAAATAACAATATGATACTATATGCTTTCTTATGAAACATATTGGTAAAGTTTCAGCATTGTTTTAAAACATTCGGTGAACATTATTTCGCTTTGTGTAAAGTTTATCTATTAAACATTGGGTCAATAAAGTTTCTAATAATAATATGTAATGTATTTGGTCAACATTTTGTTTTTAACTTTATATATTGTTATTGTTGGGATGATTTTTGATATTGGTGCACTGGGCTACCCTTTATTCTTTTTCTACAAGCAGAAACAATGGAATAATTAATGGATTGAGAAAATGTACACAAACCTGAACATAAATCCAACATCTGTATCAACATAAATGATATATTAATGCCAGCAACAGCAAATGGATATTCCCATGTTGCTCGCTCTCCACCTTTCTTCAACAACAGCCTGTGAAAAGATGCCTTCATTTGAATTTCCATAAAATTAGTAATAACTCATCTTTTCTGCCAAGATAGATATCAAGAAGCTAAAATGACAGCAAATAAAGGCAGATCAAGTTCTTTCAGATGTGCAGAATAGAAGACACTAAAGCATACCGGATATTTCCTGGCGAAAAACAGCAGATTTTCAAGGGAAATGAAGCCACATCCCCTAAGGAAAGCAGGTTATTAGACATAATGGAAAAATGAAGCATAATGCTACTCTCTTTTAGTCTATATGAACAATTGCTTTCATATAATATGTAATCACTGTATATTGATGTTCTTTATAGCCATAAAATCTCCGCCAGAATAAGTCCATGACAAGAATTTAATCCATAGTAGTTAGCTAATAAAATTGATATGTGGAAGATTATCAAATTTCTGTGAAATAAAATGGTTTAGTCTAATTCTGCCTGCATAAGTAACGGAATTTTATGCTACTATAAACATTAACAGCACTACAATGGCACTGTTTTCATCACATTTAATCAGCAGAAATTTTCAAATAGGAAACGAGTGATCAAAATGTCTAATGAGCTCTCACATGATAATATCTGTATACCTAAAGTCAGTCGATGGATTAGGACCTTGCCATCCCATATCTTTCCATTGGTCTGATATCAAGCCTTTCAGAGAAACATTAGGAAAGGCACAATGCCACAAAGCTCTCAGTGATTCCTATTGAAAGTAAATGATAATGTTAGTAAAATGTGGTATTAATTAACATAACAAAAAAAGTTAAAAGTATTCCTGAACTACAAAGACCATTAACAAGTGTTTTGAGTTGTGTGGGGGAGTTAGATAGTGTGGAATCTGTCTGCCTATGAAGCAGAAACGAAGCATGTACTTTCCAAGCGCAAACTGAGAAAGTCTTTTTTAGAAAATATATAAAGATGAAAGCAAGATAACTGAATGAAAAACAAAAGTACTTGATGATCGGGCCGAGTCTCATCATATGGCACTTGCAGCCGTTCTTGAAGCCTTTGAAGTCTTTCCTCCTGAAATGAAAATGAAAACAAGTTAAGCTCACTGAGCCTGTAGCAACAGAACGAAACTTTCTTGGACACATAATTGCAGTTTCTGATTTGCTATCAGGTTCTAAAATTAAATACTTGCACTAATTAAAAAAAAATGCAACTATTGTCTGGCACAAGGAAAAACAATCATACCATGACACAATCACTGTTCTGCATGTGAATTTTTTTTGTATATGTGTGTGTGTGTGTATCTTGGTTGAGTGTAGGGTCCTCCAATCAGTGCACTTTTCTTACGTCCAAAAGCTCTAGAAACTGAGCTATTTCAAGGAACATTGTGTTGTATATATAGACAGTATATGGACCACATAATTATTTTAAGTTTCAATAAAATGGTTTAGTTACAAGTGGCTAAAACACAAAGAAAATCAGAAGGAAAATTCAACAAATCAACAACTTCAATTTTCCCTTTACCTCTAGAGGACTCAAAGGATAGTCAACAAACTTATCATTTCGTTTAGTGTTTGTGCGGTGAAAGAGTCCTCCTATCCATGATTTTGATCCAACCATAGCAGTAGCTACATGCAACAAAATATGGATCAGAAATGGAAGAAAACTTAGATGATAAAATAAAATAATACAGGACAGAATCATCAAGTTGCTGTGTTGTTCAAGTCATCGTTAGATAGACTTTGACATACTAAATTTCAGAACTGAAATATGTTCTTCTAATACTTTCTGCAAATTGTCTATGCTCTACTTGCTAATAAATAAAAAAGAATGCAGAAGAGGCATTCCTTTAAACTGATTTTTGAAAGAATGTCCTATAAAAGTAAGAAGTGAATCCTGGATAGGACCAAACAAGCAAAGGAGCTCCTTTTTTCTCTGTTTGAAAAGGAAAAAGCTACATAACATGTCTGGTCCTCTCACTTCTCAATGTTGGCAGGCTTACAGAAAAAAAGTTTTTAAGTTAATATAAAGGATAATTTAATTTCATATATAGGCTTGAATTATCAAGAATGCTCCTGTTTAGGCCGGCGCAATGAATCAACCCAGTAAGGCAGGCCCAATCCTGAAGCCCCAAGCCACCTCAGTCCCAAATCCACTGCTTTGCAGGTATCACTGCCACCCCTTGCAAAATAGACTAGCCTTCCAATGTAAGATACCAAAACGTCTTATGTTGGAGGGTTCCCTCCTCCCCTTTTGCCTCTGCAGACACCCAATATATTAGCTTGGAATCATTCCCTCGACTTTTCTCCTACATGGCAGCTGCTGTCAGCATAGCAGCAGCTGCAAGAGGCTCAGCCTCACCCATAACAGTTGACTTGGACATCCTCCCACCACATTGGAGCCTATATATACCCCCCATCTTCACCACAAGAAAGGGGATCCTTTATAAGCTGTTACCCTGCCAACTTAGAAAGCCATTATAGTCTTTGCATGTCATCCTTTCCCCCCATTTTATACAAACTGTTCTGGGACAGTCTCTTGTGGTATTGGTCATCATCATTGCTGTGCTTGGCACTCCCTATAGTAACCATTGCACCCCCTTTGGGGTCACATATTGGGTTTTCTAATAAGCCAACAATTCTGCTCCCAAAATTAAACAGCCAAGCTCAAAACTTAGTCCTCCTTATTGATAGAATTAACTAGGCAACTATATCACCATATTTAGAAAGATATTGCTCTTATGAAAGCGTGAATATCTCTTAATTTAAGTCCTTGACTGAAACTGTTTGCAATTTCTCACAATATGCAGTAATCCTCAATATTCTCATTGACTCATACCATCAACCAATAAATGCATTGATAAGAAAAGAGATACAAAAATGTAAAGAAAAGGAAGACAGAGATCAAGAGAAAAAATCTACTTACTAAAACATTGAGCCAAATGAGATATTAAGTGAGTGGAATTATGTGACCATTCCAACTCTTCATCTTCCTTTCTATGTCTCCAATAAACCTCATCCTCATCAACCTGCATTTGAATTTTGAAAGCATATTTAACCAAAGTGTAATAGCATAAAGAGAATATGAACAACCCATCAATCTACTAAAACTACTGACAGATCTCAAGTTCATGCATTTAGCTAAATGAATTATAGTATGCTATCTATCTCAAAGGTCTAAAAACAATAGGTCAGAGATGTAAAGGAAGAAACTTTATTGTAGCTTTTGTACTTAGCAAGAAGAGATGCTTCGAATTCCAGAGGCTGTACAATGAGAAGAAGAAATAACTACACAAAGGACGATTGAACTAAATAGCATATAATAACTACATTACAGTCAACTAGTCAAGAACTAATGAAAATGCAAGTCAATCCACATATTATAATTAATTTACATGCATTACAGAACAGTAAAAAAAGGGAATTTCTGAAAGATATGATAATTTATTAATTCCTTATGAGACTCCTACATTATCAGCATCTTTCTTGAGAAGAATTTTCAGACAAGGAGGCTAAGAGAGATATGAGAAAACAATGTTGAATTTACTTTGTTAAGAGAGTAGCAGGAAGGAAAACATCGTTTACGCTTCCTCAATTTCATGAGGGTGTAATCAGACAAAAGGGTCTTTCATCCTTTTTTTTAACCAAAAGCAAAAACAAAAAAAAAAAACAAAAAATTGAAAGAAATGGGTGACCTATGATTGCACTCAAGTCATGCTCTCCCCCTATAATTCAACCTCTCCATCATTCCTACTTGTTTGTTCGCTGATTTTCACTGCAGCAATTACTAGAGAGAGAGAGAAAAAAACCAAAGTTTCAACATAATTGAAGGCCAAACGTGAAGTTATGAGACATAATAACACGTTGAAATATAGTGACCAACATAATAGAGTAATGAAAGGGATCTTTTTACTTTAGCTTAACTTTATGCTGTAAAAATAAAAAATTAGTGATTCAAAAGAAGATTTGAAAAGTTGGTTGAGAAGTGGGGGTGGGTGTCCCTGCTCTTCCTAGCATTGTTTCTTTTAGCTTTTCTAGCCCACCAACTCTACATACAATAAAAGACAAAACATGACATCCTTTTGTGTAGCAAAAGCATAAATAGAAAACAGGTAAAGCTAGGAATAAAATCATGTAATGTTATATGTTGATAGATATAACAAATACCTGCTAAGTGCTAATGCTAATGCTAATGTTATGTCAGTGGTGATTTTGTTGGTACTTGGCGGTATCAATGTCTTAAAGGAAGCCACTAGGACAGTGGAGGGAAGTGGTGGGGCCAGAAAGAAGATAAAAGATAGGAAGTGAAAAAATGACATTTTGTTCAGAGATTGAGTTTTGCATTGAGGAGGACTGGAGGAATCTTGTGATGGTTTCATTTGTTTGTCTGTTTCTGAGGCTTTGGAAACCATACATTTTCCCCATTGCTAGCCTATACCGTAGTTCTCGGTGCTGGCTAAAGTAATTGGCTTCTGTGGTTCTTTTGTGATGCCCGCGTCCAAATAATAGCATGATTATTGTTGTGTTATCCGTGCTACACCATAATTCGTTCTTATTTGCATTTTTTATTACTTTTATTTTAAATTAATCTATTTTTGGTTTCTTTTATTTTAATTACTTTTTGTTGTTATTTTTGTACCCAATCTTAATTTTAAATTCATTTAACGCGAAATAGCGAGTTAGTGATTGAAATACTAATCCTTGTAGGAACTGTTAAAGAATAATATAAACTATTAAAAAAGCTTTCACCCAACACCTTAAGCTTTTGGTTGAATTGGTTCTTGATATCAGAGTCTCGGTATCATGGGTTTGATCCTCACCACCCACACTTTTTCTTGTGGAATTTCTTAGCACAGTTAGATGGGTCTATGCATTGTTCACCCTTCAAGCTCAGTGGGCTCTCATACAAAGGAACGTGTTAAAAAATAATATAAACTATTAAAAATATCATCACCCAATAACTTAAACTTTTGGGTTAAATTACTTTTTTAAAGGAACAATATAATTTCTCATCATTTTATTAGTTGTACAATCGATACACTTCCGGAATAAACAACAAACAAGAAGTGACATATAATGACCCTCACATTTTATTATGGATTTAATATGGAAGGATGATTATAAAGAAAAAGAAATAAAGTCACATTTGGTGAAAAAGGAGTTAAAATGACAATTAAGAAGTAAAAATACGGGTAAATAAAATTACCCGAAAGTAAAAAGTAAAATTATAAATATTACCATAAAAATATTCTAGACTAATGTGCAAAGTTTCATAGTGAATGGAGGTGCATAGATAGATAAGATTTTACCCAATTAAACTAATTTAAATACTTAAGTGTATAAACCACTACCTCATTTCATTTTCTTCTCGTACGCGTCTCGTTCTTCTTCTTCTTCTCTGTGCGACGATCGTAGCCATTGAAGGAGGACTTTAATTCCAACTTATTCATTTCTTGATGAAATCAAGTGAGGTAAAAAGCAAAGTTGCTTAGAATTGGGAGACAAACACAACCCATAATCCATAATCTATCAAAAAGCCTTATATTGAGAGAAAAATGGAAGGAAAAGTGGCGCCCCTTTGTTGATTGAAGGTTCAAGAAGGCGTTTTGATCTCATTTGAGGTTGGAAATCCACTTATTGGGTGATTCTAGGTAAGTCTATGTTAAGAAATCCTAGTTTTCTTTAAGTTTTGAGAAAGATTGATTTAGGTTTTCATTTTAAAAATTTGGTTTGATTGAGCATGTTAGAGCTTGATTCAGGTTTAGCTCATGTTGAGAAAAGTGTTTAGATGAGAATTTTAACGGTGAAAAAGTATTTGAAAAATTAAGATACCGTATTTTTGAATAATGTCGTATAGGTGAATAGTGACGTATACATGAATAGTACTGTAGAGATGAACACTACCGTATATATATGAATTAATGAATCTTGGATTAGAAGTGTGTGATAAGCTTGAATTTGATGGACTAAAGCATTGGAATCATGATGTTGGCATGATTTCCTTTATGTGCCTCTTAGCCATTTTCAAAGGAAGTATGTGTTATGAGTTACTGTTTTACAAAGCGAGCATACTTTTATGCGTGGAATAATATTCTAAGGTGTATGGCCCTTCGCTTTGGTGAAATAAAAATGAAAATAACGTAACTCCTTTATATGGCCTTAAAATGAGTTTTGGCCATTTTCAAAGGAGGTATATGTTCGGAGATATTGTTTCGCAAAGTGAGAACACTTATATGCGTAAAATAATTTATATAGGTGGCTAAGCTTGGGTTTAGGCAGTAGACAAAGAGAAATCTTATAGCTCCTTTGTAATGGGCATTATGCCTTAAATTGGGAAAAATAGGTTTTAGGTGCTAAGAGGAGTAATGAGTGTTCTAAAGGCCTTTTGGGACTATCCTAAGACTAAGTGAATATGTGGAATTTTGTAGGGATTTGTTGAACAAAGAACCACCCACTCATGACTTAATATGATTAAGTAAAAAGAAAATAAACAATAAAGTGTGTGTCTTGTATATTTACAGGGCATTATATCATTTTATTGAGTTTTGTGTTGAATTCCTTCTCTAGGTGTGCCTAGGGACTGTGAACGTTTGGATTCTCGTGGAGCAAGATAAGTAGCTTGTTCTTCAAGCAAGCAAATTGTAAAGCTCCAAGTGGTAAGCTCTATGTTTACGGGGTTCGCTCCTACTTTGTGTTCCGCCATAGTGTACGGACTGTGGTCAGGTTGTATGATATGTATGAGATATATGATATAGATGCATTCATATAGAACTATATGATGGTGTGATGTGATATGTTTTGATGTGTTTATTTTGATATGCTTTGATGTGTTTACTTTGATATGTTTTGATGAGTTTACTTTGATAGGTTTTGATGTGATTTTTGTATTGGTTCTATATACACTAATGTCCGCTTGGAGTCCTCCCTTAGGACTGACTGTATATATATCTGTTATATGTTGAGTTCCGCTTGGGGTCCTCCCTTGGGATTGACTGTGCACACCTCTGTTATGTGATGATCTCTGGCCATTGATCCTATGTGCACTGAGGTCTGCTTGGGGTCATCCCTCGGGACTGATGGTGTACACCTCTGATATGTTCTGGTTCTGCTTGGGGTCTTCCCTTGGGAACACGTATGTTGATTTCCACTTGGGGTCATCCCTTGGGAATAACTGCGTACGTCTCTGATAAGATATGTGTATATGTTTTGTTTAGTTATGATATTTAATTATATGACATGTTTTATGTGATATGTATGATGATTTTGTAAATGATATTTGTTACGTACGTTGATTTCCGCTTGGGGTTATCCCTTGGGAATGATTGCGTACGTCTCTGATATAACACGTTTTGTTCTGATGTGAGTATTGTGATGCTTTTTGTAAATGATATTTGTTACGTGCTTTGATTTTCGCTTGGGGTCATCCCTTGGGAATGACTGCGTATATCTTTGATAAGATATGTATATATGCTTTGTTTAGTTATGATAATTGCTTATATGATGTTTTGTATATTATGTATCTTACTGTCATGCAGGAAGTGAGCCCAGGGTATGGAGAGATTTCCATAAACCTAGAGTTTACTAGAGATTCGTCTCTAACCCCGTTTGGGGATATGATTTCAGGAACACAGTTAATTGAAGAGCCCTCACGGGACAAGGACATTAACCGTGGCTAGAGGTACTAGTATGAGGATGTGGAGTTATGGGTGACCGGAGGCGACTATTTATTTTAGACGTATTTTTGGAGAATATGTATTGTTGTATAGTGTTCTATTCATTTTGTGATCATGATGTTTGATCCATTATACAGTATATGGTCCGTATATGTTTTGTACATGTGTTCATATTTGATGCATGTACATTTGTGTATTCAGATATATGAATGTGCTGAAATATGTATGCTGTTAGACATAGTGGCACATAGCCAGTTATGCATGCACACATGAATGGGTATTAGATATGTTGTTGGACCATATATGATTATATGATATGTCTATCAGGATACCTTGATAGTGGGATTCGCAAATCCCCGTTTGTCCGATTTACAGACGTTACTCTGTCCGATTTTCGTCTTCGTCGAATAAGAATTAAACTAGGAGAAGTGTGCAATGTGATATGTCATGTGAAAAAGGATTAAGAAAAAGAAAAAATTAGCTTGTACTTTCGTAAGTTTAAGTCTTCCGCTGTTTCTGTTTGTATCATATGTATGTTAATGGAACCGGCTCGAAACGGGGATGTTACATGACACCAGTGAACCTGGCACTTTACAAGAAAGTAGGAGTTATAAGGTTGGAAGTGTCGTGAAATTCAATTAAAGATAAGAGTCATAAGAAAGGGAAAAGTGTATATCATTTTAAAGGATATAAATTTATGTCATTTTAAGTGAGAGAAAGAGATAGATAAAGGAGGAGAGAGAGTGGACAAAAAATATAAAGATGTGAGTCACATCTCTTTGTGAAAGAGTAAAAGGATATAAGTTGTGTCGTTTAAAATGACAAACACTTTTTCCTATAAGAAAATGAATTAATTATAGAAAATATGGTGAGAGTTAAAAAAAGCCAAATTAATGACAAATAGTTTAGTTAATTATTGGAAACTTAATTATATTAAGCGAGGTATCGTGACAACAACACAAGCGAGTGGTGCTAGTCCACCAGCCTCGCAAAAAGGTGAGTGTTGTAAGAACATCAAATCAATTAACGATGAGAATTATTAAAAGGAGAATGAATTATGAGTTTAAGGGGAGAGTTTTATAAAAAGGTGAATTAATTAAGTGAGAGTATGAGACTAATTAAAAAAAAAAAGGTGAGATTTTTCTGAACTTTATGCAAAGGACTATTGAGTAAATAAAGAGAGACAAAAGAAAGGAATGCAAGGTCACACACCCATTCTAATTCATTAACAGCAATCGATTCTTCACACACATATACACACACACACACCACTTCGCTCTGTGACTTGATGGAAACTAGCCCATAAATCCTAGCTATAGGGGGTGGGTAACATCTTTATTCAAATAATGACACCAAAGTGGGTACTGCCAGGGCTATATATAACGCCCTGGAAAGCCACAGAACACAAATTGAAGAAGCATATTGCTGTTAATAATAACAGAAAACACTATCATAGTGAATACTTCAGATTGGAAATGCCTCAATGATTGATGGCAAAGCATTGATCTTGATGATGTTATAACGAGGGAATCCAGTTTCTTTAAATAACCATTTCCAATTCTCCTCAGTCCTTTCTTTCCCACCAGCATTATGTGCAAGAAGCATCATGTCAAATGCAATCCCAATGTCAGTAAATAGTTCATTCCCTTCAGGCTGCAACACATGATCCACAATTATCACCTTCCCAGTCTTCTCTGGTATTGCCTTCCTACAATTCTTCAAAATCTTGATGCAGTGTTCATCACTCCAGTCATGCAGAATCCACTGCATTAACCCATCAAAAAAAAAATTGAAACATTAAATATAAGCCCAATATTATAAACATATCAAACATAATATTCATGTGTTTATACTAACCTTCATGTAAATAGCATCAGCATTAGGAATAGACACAAACATGTCTCCTCCAACATGGGTGATTCCATCAAAATTAGGTGCTGTGGCAACCACATGAGGCAAATCAAAGTTAATGGCTTTAATATGAGGGTAGGCTCTGACAATCTCAGAGAGTGACCCTCCAATACCACCTCCTACATCAACCAAAGATTGAATCCGGTTGAACCCATCTTTGTATCCTGAAATAACAGCCCTGGACACAACCCTGGCCGTGCACACCATACCTTCATTGAACAAACTATTGTATTCAGGGTCCAAACCTGTCATTTCAAATTGCTCATGGCCATGGCACCTAAAGAAAGCAGTGCCATTTTGTGTGCCTTCTCTGATAATATCACTAATATAGTGAGTTGGGTTCAAATGCAAAGGGTGATTCTCTAGCAGAAGCATAGGGGCCAAGGTCATTTTTGTGTCACGTAGGATCCATTTTGAAGCACGAGTTAAGCCATATAGGGTCTCTCCACTCTCTGATTGCTCTGCACTGAAGATCTTTCTACGAACCATCACTCTCATGACTCTCTGAAGCAGAGAGATATCTGGGGTAGGTGCATCTTCAATGTTCTCAACAATTTTGGACAAGGATAGTGGTTTACCATAACGGTCTAGTATGTCAGCTATGCGTAGCTGCACAACACATTTCAGTGCCACAGAGTCAGTGAAGCATGTCATGTACTTCCATATTTCTACTTGCCCAAGCAATGAGTCTTCCTCCTCCTTGTTCAGACCCTGAGTATAAAAGTAATAATGGAATGGAATGTGAACATATTAATCAACATATATAGAATTTGTAAATGCAGGTACTTGATGAATTATTTACTTGGCCAAGACATGAACCAATAATTAAGCAATATAAAGTTTAGGCATGGTACATAAATCTGGACATGTTAACCTTTTTAAATGAGACTAAAGTTGAACTTATTATGTTCCCAACCTCTATAAAATCGTTCATAGCAGAAAGGCTTCAATCAAATTATGTGAGAGACCCAAAATGAACAAAATGTATGTGTGTATAATACTTACTGAGAATTAATGGACTCGCTCGCATACTTCTTTTTGCAAATTTTGTGAGAACAACAACTCTATGCTTTACCATTTTTAGAGATTTTTTAACTACACCTTGTTGATATCACAATTATTGAGGGAAGAATAAGCTAGCAATCCGTGAAGTGATAGGAACTAAACTAATAATTCATTAACAATAATTATTTTTGAATTAGTTTTAATTACTCCACGTTGCTAATACCACAATTATTGAGATGAAGAATGTGACAGAAATTTGTAGCTATAGGGACCAAACGAACAATTCATTCAAAATAATATTTTTATACTTCTAAAAAAAACATATAATATTTATTAAGTAACTATCAAACTCGTGTAATAGCCAGAGACAAAAACAGGAATAGTTTTGGGGAATGTTATATTTATAAATTTTTTGTTTACAAACTACACTAAGTATGACCGGTCATACTTCAATCAAAAGTGTATGACCGGTCATACTTAGTGTAATGTGTAAAAAAAGTTTGTAAACTCATCATTTCCCGTACTTTTGATACTAAGAAGACATAAAGCTAGTACTTTGTAAAATTTTAAATCATTCATAAAAAATACCAGGTCCAGACCCCAAATCGAATGCATAAATTGCTGCTGAAGGAAATACGGTCACCATAAGTATGATATATTTTAGCTTAAATTATAAGACTTATTATTTGGAGATTTTCAATTAAATTCTTATAATGGAAAAGCTAATTGAATTCTTCTTGTAATTCGAAAACTATTATATTATGATGAAAATTGAACCAATTCAACCCAAAAGCTTAAGTTATTGGGTGAGGCTAAAAGATCGAACCCGGTACACTGAGGCTTTGATACCATGTAAAGAACCAATTCAACCCAAAAGCTTAAGCTATTGGGTGAGGCTATATTAATGGTTTTATATATCTCAACAATGAGCTTCCAATGATTCCCCTTGGGTCAGGGGTTCAAACCCTGTTAGAAGCAAATTATTGGAAAATCTTTGAGGGCCAGAGGACGTGTCTCTGTCCTCGAAGGGGAGATTAGTCACATCCTTCCTTCGGTAACGAAGCTCAATGCACTCGTTGTTCCAATGAGGGGTAGCATTTGGGCCGTACTCCGAGGACAAAGTGATCCGAGGAGGTTGAATGGGGATACACTCCAAGTTATACCAAAAAAAAAATTGATAAGTAATTTAATATATGTTAACATTAACATACAAAATTAAAAAAAATCTCTTACTTCAAAAGAACATAAGAATTAAGAAAGAGAACGTACATAATAGACACACCTTTTTACAAATTCAGATTAAATTTAATGATTTCCGAATTAATAAAACCCATTTATGAATTTTTTAAAATGTAAATAAAAATATGGACTGTGGGGAACAGACGAATGAAAATTAAAATGCAAAGAAAAAAAATGAAGTAATAAGATTGCAGCACAATTTCCAATTAGAAAATTAACTATAGTCTGACATAAATAGCTAGTATACCAATAATTAAAAAAAATTCAATATAAATTAAATTGGTCTTACCTACGAATGTAAATAAACTAGGCTAGACTAAACTTTGGCTTAAATAAGCCAAACTTTGTAAAAATCTTCAAATCTGGCCTAGTTTGTCAACATGTGTAGACCTAAATTACAAGTCTGACATAACTAATATTTAAAAAATAAAAGCTTGGGCCTAAACTTGTTAGCCTGTTTAAGCTTATTAAACATTTAATAATTAAAAAATAACTAAAATAATCTTACTTTATTATTCAAAATAATTAAAATAATAATTTTATTTATTTTATTTAAAAATTAAAATAAATAATATGATCCTGTAAGTTTATAGGTCCGACATGTATAAAAAAACTCATGACCTGCTTTCTACATAAGTTTTTTTAAAAGCCTACACCTATTTTATTTGACTATTTATAATAGGTTAAACCTGATTTTATATAGGCTAGATCGTAGATCCCTGAAGACCGGTCTGATCCATTTATACCCTAGTCTTACCAAACATATAATAGCCAAAAATAAAAACACTAGTAGTCTGTCTACAAAAAAAAAACACTTGTAGACTTCAAGAAAACAAACTGTAAACTTCAATATTAATTGTGTGACGATGCATGCCTCTATATAGTGGTATCTAGGTTTCATTATTACATCACACCTAAACGAAAACATTGTATGCGTATGCAATCTTTTCTTTTACTCCAAAATCCTGACTGTAACTTACCATGATTGTGCGAATTGTGAAAGCATACATTTAAGCTGGATGTTTGTGAACCAAATAAGTACTTATTAAGCTATTTCCGGTGTAGTACTACAAAACAAGCTGTTCGATCCAATTCCACTCTCCAAGTAACATAATACATAGTTGTAATTGTGGACAAATGGTGAAGCTGGGGTTTTTTGATGATACCCATCAAATTAACCTCCAATTTCGCTTTGTTTTGAAAAAAGAGTAAAGCACATACATAAAGCATTAACATGATAACATCCATGAGAATGGAAGAAAACTTTAAACGATTACTATTCATACATATAGAGAAAAATATAGTACATTCTTGCACTTTTTATATAAGAATATATTGGAAATGTTCAAACATATTGTTCAACATGATACATGTATATTAGATATTAAGTATAATAGTTTGGTGGTATAAAAATCAAAAGAAAACATTTGAATATAGTAACTAGGTGTACATCTCCCCAAAACACGTCTTGAGAATATTTCAAATTTTTAAACTAGAAAGCAAATACATAATAAAAATTTATTACCCATTGCTATTACTTTTTGTTGTTGGTAGAGTTTTTAAATTTCATTACCACTGTTTTATATCTCTTTAAGGAATAAGAAACGAATAAATTATCTTTTGGTTTCATTTATTTAAATTATATTTTTTATCCTTGATACTAGTCATTTTACAGGAGTTCTTTAAAAGAAAAAAACATTATTTTACTTTTTATGGGTTGAAATAAGCACTAATTGACTAAAGATGTCTAATTTGTTCAAGAATAAAACCCAATATGTATATATTCAAGGGAAAAATATTTATGCAAATAAGTTATCTGCATTTATTTTCAAAACAACGTTGTTTTGATATTGAAATCTTAAAAAATTATAAATATAAAGATTATCATAACCTGAAATAAATTAAAATTACAAAAATACTATGATTTCTGCTCCAAAACGACGTCAGATAACTTATATGCAATAACTACAAAAAAAAAAAAAAAAAAAAACCCTGTATTCAATCATACAAACTCGAATTCGAGCTGCGATCCAGCTTAATTAACCCCGTACAAAAGTAAGTAAATTTTCAACAAGATAGATGTATCACATAGACAAAGTTAATCAACCAGTAAAACTAACAATACGTTAAAAGAATAAGTTAATCTAAACAACACTAATTAACATTTCATTGACAAATCTATTACCGTTGTCACTTACATTAAGGCATAAATAATACAGTTAAATACATAAACCTCCAAAATTAACGCTGAACACACTAATTATTCCCTTGCATGGAGCCCTCTCTATTCATTGCAAAAAATTCCATTTCGAGAAGAGGTTCTCAAACTCCTTATTCTCTCTCGCATGCTAACTAGCAAGAGAAGTACTGAGCCCGAACTTTAAGCAAACTAGGAACGCAGGCTAGTATTCGTCCAGTGGCCACAAAACCAAACTGGAATAGAGAGTAACGAAACCTCATATATTCAAACTTAAGCTCAATTAAAAAAGTTGATACCATGACAAGAAATTAGTCAATTTAAAAATCAATTAAAATGTAAAGAGTTTAAGACAATTTTCTAGGAGAAGGTTATATTTACAAACTTTTTGTTTACAAATTCTTACAAATTACATTATATGACTGGTCATACTTAGTATAATTTGTAAAAAAAGTTTATAAACAGATTTTTTCCCATTTTTTTATGTAACAATGCTTGATCGATGTTGTCACAAATTTTTACACTTCACATTCCTTAGCTTTCACCTATCCTAAACTTTTACCTATCCTTCCCAAAAATAATTTACTGTGTATGTAATTAAAGATAGAAACCTTTTAAAATGTGGGTCAGTATATCAAGACCAATTTTAGAACCAACTACACTAATTTTTTTATTATATATCAATATATAAGGTTGCCTACCATTGACCTTTGACCCTTCATGTACCTAGGCAGAGGAAGAGCTTTATGAACCATTCTAAACGTCTTTTTATATATCGATTCATGAAAGTGTTTTTGGCTCAGAGTCATAGGCACCCGCCATATCAAATTCTGTATCTTTTCCTATAAAATGTACGATGCATTTTGGTACATTAATAAACCTCAAATACTAATAACTGCTGATCGTTTGGTTCTTTTTTACAAAGAGTTTATTAAACAATGTCAATACAAATTTTTGTAGCTATATAGTGTGAGTCCACTCGCAATGTCTCTACATGGGGTAATAAATATATAGTTTCAGACATATAAATCAAATAATAAAATAAAGTTTACAGAATTTGAAGAAGAAAAAAGAAGGATCGATTCTCTGTAAAAAATAAATAAATTGTAAAAGCAGGATATAGTTCAAGTCCCATTAGTAAGATCATTATGTGAATATTAGCCAAACAGTGTGCTCTATTTTCTACGCACCTTGAAGCCCGAAGGAGGGGAATGCTTGGAAAGAACAGTCTCCATATTCTGTAGAATTTTATAAAGGGAATCAAATTTGCAGAATCCTTTCTTTTACTTACTGCAAAGCTTTCAGTGGTTGTTGGGATGGCTTGCAAATGAACGGTTAATAAAGAAGATAAAGTAGCACAAAGTGTGTGGTTGATTGCTGCTGCTGAACATACGAACTGATAAGGTCGGCATGCAGTGTGTGGTTGAGATTCACATTTTGAATCTTTGATGATTGTACAGTTTCATTATTGAGCAGATATTAGTGTGACAGATGAGTGTGTGGTGCAGATCATAACAACACTAAAGTATCTGTTGGTACTGCAAAAAAGAGACATATTTATTTATTATGTAGTACAGCTTTCATGAATTTGGGCAAGCATTCATCTGATCTGCCATGATTTTATTGAACTCTGTATCGTTTTATATCATAAAGTTCTAAAACTAACATCATTATTGATAGATTATAATTGATTAATTGTCCATCAGTCTTTAATAAACAACAAAGCCAATCTCATTGCACGGTACTAAAAACAAACCTTGTGGGTACATCTCCAACTCTATACCATCTGAATATCGACACGTTAAAGCAAATCTTAATAATTGTGATGAAAATTGGTGATGAATCATTCTTTATGCGAATCTACTGGTCCATACCTATGCTCAGTGCTATACAACGTGGCTCAAGGATGAATATGACTTCACATGTCACCAAGTATTTTTTATTAAACGACAGCGTATGCTGTATGCGCATGTTTGTAAAGTTACTCTATGAGATGTAACATTGTGTAGATGTAGCTAAAATCCATAGCATAAATTCTCATTGTGTACCTGAAATCAATTGGGAGATTTGTCCACTCCAGTCCAGTCCTTCTCGGCCCGGCCCATTTCCTCGGTTGATACAAAATCCATTAAGAGCAACATTTTCTGAATGGCACAATAAGAGCCTGTTACTAAAAAGGCGTTACTCGTTAGGATCTGCATCTGTATATATCATAAATATGTTGTGTACCAATATGTGAAGAGCGGATGAGGAATTAGTGTTTGAATGGAACAGAAATAAGGATGATTTTGCAGCAAGTACAATAGTATCTTGAAAAACTTTATAAATCTTTGCGAAAGAAAATATTATTAAGGACAAAATCTATCATGGTTTGTATTAAAAAAAAAAAAAAAAAAAAAATCCATCATGGTTTAACCAACATGAAAGAAGAAAGTGGTTTTTTTTTTTTTTTTTGGTATGTAATATGAAGGTATCCCTACTCAACTTTCTCCGGCAAACTTGCCTACGACCCTAAAGCTAGCTCCTCGTAGATGATGCATTGGAAGAAAGTGGTTTTAATATAGCCTTGGTGAATCTTACAACGTATTTTTAAGTTTCTCACTAGGAGTGAAGAGTTCAAAGACTATAGTTTACAAAGATAAAATAAAGCGAATAGTTCATCCACGGTCTTGCATCTAAGGGTATTTTTTGGAAAAGGGGTTTTAATTTTTAAGGGATAATTAAAAAAAAATATGATAATTCATAATTTTATTCCTTTTCCTTCCAAAACTCTCATACCCAAACACACCGTAAGGGTCCATAATAAGTGAAAGGCGTTCTATACCCAGACACCCAGAGAACAATGTCATGACAACACCCATCATTCATCAACATATTGTTACATAAACACTACACTTAATATCATATACAATAAAAAGTGACAAGGGAAGAAAACAAAGTATGTGCTCATGAAGAAAGCTTTCAGTAGAGAAAGTAAACAACAGATCATGAATCACAAGAAGAATCATTGATAGATTTATGTTCCCTTCCAGAGGAGTGATATTAAGCAAACTTGATCTTGTTTACCTTCGTTAATTGACCAGCTAAAGATTCCTCCCCTTCTTCAGGACTTAACCAAGAATAGCATTAGCCACTGCCATCAAACATAGAGAAATCATATTAAAAGATTGATAGATAAACAAAAACTTGCATAAAAAAGTCCTACCCCAATATGATGCTAGAAAGTGCCCTGTTAGCCTACTCTATGATCAGGTCTATCAAATCTGGAATATAGAACACAAAAGATAGTATGAATTATATGGATCATCAAAGATAAGGCCCTAAGATTTCTACAACTGCAATAATGCAAAAAAAAAAACAAAAAACAAAAAAAAAAAGAATTTAATCAAGTGGTGTATCTGAAGTGCAAGAAAAGAATAACAAGCTCAAGGAGTAGACAGTGCCATTCCTCCTAGCTATGAATTTTCATACCCACTAACTCCACTCTTTGAGAGACAAGTACATACCTATAATGCACGAAATGGCACAAATAAGTGTCAATCTTTTCAACCCACATAGAATTGAATTAAGTGCCAACCAGAAGTTAAACCAAACCCATCACGTTGTTTGAGAATGCGCAGTTAGTTCAATACAGCTGTAACGTAATGTACATGCATATAATATGAAACTTATCATACTAGGATCCACGCCAGCATGCGTTGTAAAATTGGACGTGTCCAGTCCAGGGTGTACGGAGAGGATAAGATATCTTTGAAGCGCGAATCTTCCCGAGACAAGTTGGTCAAGTTGTACATACATCACGCTCAATCATCAGCTTCACATTCACGCATTACCTGAGCCACAAGGTTTATGGTCAATGGTCAGGCTCAGAGGCCCATACAATGTTACTAATCTTTAAATTTCAAAGACCTAAGTACATAGCCCACTTGCGAGGCTTCAAGGGTAAAGTGGACTATCCAAATGTGAAGGACTACTCAGGAAGTTCAATTCATGATTGTTTGACAAGGGATAGATATACCGCTTATAACTATGATTGTGAATGATGACATGACATAACAATCTGAGATAACCAAGATTTACCTTTAGAGGAATTTAAAATACCTAATTTACCCTTGCGAAGAAACAATCAAACGTCTATGCGATATTGGACCGAAGAAATGAACCCCACCCCACCTCACCTCACCTCACCTCGTAGAACCTGTTGAAATGTAGCAATTTGAAATTCAAAATAGAAAAATTGTTGTTATTCTGTTCTTGTATATTTCAATTTGTATAGATAGAATCAGAAGTTTGGTTCCTTTATTTCATCTAGTTTGTTAGGATTTTGAATGTACAATTTGTGTATAAATACACCTCTGATTATGAGAAAATTATGAATGAGAATTAAGAGATACAGTGGTACTCTATTTTTGACATGGTATCAATAGCCTTCTGATCCTGGACCTATTCCTATTTTTTTATTTACTCTCTTTCTTGAAACCCACCCGAAACCCATCCCTTTCTTCTCTCTATTTTCCTTTGTTTTCTTCTGATCCTAATCTTCTTCTTTTTTTCTTTTTTTTTAATCCCACCCACCCCAAACCATTTTTTTATTTACATTTTTTTTAACCCACTCTGTTTAGTTATTCCAACTTGAGAAAGGCCTTTACGCCAGTTTCGAACTGAGGACTCTTAAGTGGTAAGAATTGTACTAAACCAACAAGCCGCTCGGGAAACCAATGGACTTAATCTAACTGTGAAAGTTGTCGATACAAAGATGATAGTGCAGAGGGGTCGTCCTCAACGAATTGCTGAAAGTTTGGTGGGTGATGAAACAACAATGATCGTATTCACCGCTAGAAAGGAACAAGTGGATCTGATGAAAGAGGGATCTACTCTCATCCTTCGAAATGCCAAAATTGACTTGTTCAAAGAATCAATGAGGCTTGCTGTGGACAAGTCTGGCCGTATTGAAGTCACTCCTGCTGCTTCATCCTCTCCTCCAGCGGCGCATATTGCTCATCAGGGCACATTTGATAAACCTTATGCTTTCTCTGTATTGTCTAGAAATAATACATGGATCATTGATACCGGAGCTTCTGATCATATGATTCGAGACTCCTCTATTTTGAGTAATTTTTGTTCCTCCTCCCAACCTTTTATCTCTACTGCTAATGGAGGCATCTCTCCTGTCACTGGCCAGGGTTCTATTTCTTTATCCCCTTTTTTACATCTTGAATCTGTCTTAGTTGTTCCTTCCTTGGAATTTAATTTGCTTTCTGTTCGCCAACTGACTTCATCCTTGAATTGTTTTGTCACTTTTTGGCCTACTCATTGTATTTTTCAAGACATCTCAACAAAGATGACAATTGGCTATGGTGTTAAACGAGGTAGCTTGTATGTTCTGGATCACAATTGGATGGGTGATCGTTCTCCTGCTCATGCTTGTTCTACTTTGGCTGCTGATGAAGCTCGAGAAGCTATCTGGTTATGGCACAGAAGATTAGGACACCCCTCATTCCCTTATTTGCAAAAGTTGTTTCCCAAATTATTTGCTACCCTTAGATGTTCTGATTTTTCTTGTACTGTGTGAAATGAGCTAAAAAGAAATCAAAATAGATATCTTTGCTGATTTTTGCTGATTAAGATACCTTCTTGCTGATTAGGATATATAAAGAAATCAAAATAGATATCTTTGCTGATTAGGATACCTTCTTGCTGATTTTTCTGATTTTTCTTGTACTGTGTGTGTGATTGATATCTTTGCTCCAACTTGAGGGGGAGTGTTGAAATGTAGCAATTTGAAATTCAAAATAGAAAAATAGTTGTTATTCTGTTCTTGTATATTTCAATTTGTATAGATAGAATCAGAAGTTTGGTTCCTTTATTTCATCTAGTTTGTTAGGATTTTGAATGTACAATTTGTGTATAAATACACCTCTGATTATGAGAAAATTATGAATGAGAATTAAGAGATACAGTGGTACTCTATTTTTGACAGAACCCCACCCCATTAAGACTTAAAAAATAGAGTAAATAATTTTTAGGTTTTATTAATCTCATGTTACATGAGATAAGTTATCTCATGTCATAGATACAAATTTGTGGACTTCATCACCTGAAAAATAAAATAAATAAAAATAAAAAGGTGGCACAGTTATCGAAGGGTATGTAGGAGAAAAAATTATTACATGTAGTATAAGATTAGTTTTTCCCATAATTTTTTTGGTCCTCAACAATTTTAATATGTGGTTCTTAAAAAATTCAAAATGGACTCATTTAGTTGAAATCGTAGTCTTTCACAAATTCAAAAAAGATCCACATTGATTCCTCAAAATGACTAAAATGGGTCCACTTTGAATTTCTTAGGGACCACGAATAGCCTTTTTATTTGCTAGGGAAGACAAGAAAATTTCAGGGTAGCAAACATTCTCTAGAATTTCGATTAAATTCGATCCTTAGAATTACCACTGCTTAGCTTTCAATTCGCCTCTAGTTCCAACACTAGATTTCATGTTTCAATTAAGAGGTGTCATGGAAAGAACGGGTTCAAAATCTCGATCAATTCCTTTTTCAAATCCTGCCGCAGCTGCGCGGGCTCTTCCCTAAAACGGACATCGTAAAATTTGCTGATGACCAAAAATGATATTTACTCTTAACTTAAATGATAAATTTATAATAAAAGAATTCTTTTTTTAACCATAATAAGGGAATATGATATCACATCTCAACTCAAAATCTATAAACACTAAGTTTATGGGTTTCTTTACTTATATTTATAATGCTTAGCCCATTATTTGTCGATAAGAGATTTTTTATCACACGTACTGAAATTTCCAACAATTTTGAGTTCTGCAACTATTAACTCTCCCTCAAAGGGAAAAAAAGACTATCATCCCCAAATAATTGGTACATCTAGGCTACGCCAATTAACCTGACTCTAATAACACTATTGGGCAAGGATTGGGGAGCCCAAATTATGGGAGACTATCATCCACACATCAAATGAGCATATATAAATAAATCCACAATAAAAAGGTCTGACACCATATTTCAACCCAAAATTTAAGAAATTTGGAAAATGATGAAAGGAAACAAAAAAAAACATTCCAAAGCATATACAATAACAATGCAGTAATTTGTCTTTGCACTCAACTTTAGAATCACTCTTGTTTCTTATTCTTTAAGCTTTCCATAGGCTTGTACTTCATGACTGCTCTCCACTCTTAATGTTGGAATATTTCATAAGCCACCAAATCAACAGGACTTTAAAGCTTGTAATGTAATAGGTGGGTATGAACAAAGACAAAATAGTATCAGGTAGGTAGAAAATAAATAAGAGATAATATAGTTATGCATAGTCCTCAATACTATTTCTCATCATGAAGATATCTTTTTCTTTTTCTACTTTTCTCAAAAACAGATTTTTTTTACTTTGAAACTCAAATGAAACTTGTTCCCCCTGAATTTGATATTCCTTTTTTTTCATTTCTTTTTCTTTTTCTTTTTCTCTTTCTCACTTTTTCAGTTTTCTTTCTTTTTCTCATTCACATTCTTTTTCTTTTTCTGTTTCTCATCCCCTTTCTTTTTCTTTTTCCTTTTCTCATTCCCCCTATTTACTTTTCTTTTGTACTCTAACAATTCATCCACTCAATCTAGAAACTATTCATACTCATACATAAAAAAGGTTTGTAATAATTAAAAGAAAAAGGGCTGTATATGAGATTTAAAAAAAAGGCTTAAGGCTCAAATGGGGTTACAAGGGATAAAAATTACTGTTAAGGTTGGCTTGAAAAGCTCAAACGACCAAAGAAGGCCTATATCATTTTCAGTTACTCATGAAACATCCTAACTAGCGAGCCTTGAGCTTCACTCATACAAGTTCTAGATTGCTTCCTCACAAAGAAAATCACAAATAGATATATATCCTCACAAACATGGCAAACAACCACAAAGTTAAAGCATACACTTCAAAATGCATATAACAAGAAATCATGTGAAGTGAATGGTGAGGCAAATGTAATTGAATATGGTAGTGAAGAAGAAAATAGGTCAACAAATATCAATAGTATTTTATTTGTCATCAAAATTAGCCAATCATTGAGGGAGGAAAAGAAAATTCTCAATCAATTTTTTTTTTTATATTATAGTACACATCTAAAAATTCTGAAATTTTCCAGTCTTAAAGCTTATTAAGTTAGCTTTTCAATGCCACTGGTTTCATGCAAAAAAGGTTTGTATAACTCAAGTTATGTCTGTTAAAGTTAACTAGTTCACAACAGAATTTAGAACTCAGCACTCACTTTCACAAAATTTCAGGGAACAGAGGGGTTAAAAAAATTGTGAAAATATCCAGAATCAAACTTCATCATCTTAGCTTTCAATAGCAATTGGTTTCATCAAAAAAATGATTTTTCTAACTCAAGTTATGAAGAAATTAGCTCAACAATGTCAAAATTCAGCACATCAGCAAACACACATGATTAAGTTGATATACTACCAATGTTATGATCATGTGAAAAAATGATTTTCAACTTAACATTATGCCTTAATCCCTTGACATAATAAACATTATCAATGGAGTGTTGATGAACCCTTAGTTCATCAGGTTTTTGAGCATGAATTAGTATAAATTTGTGTGATTAAATGGATGAAAAAGAGGTCAATGTCCTA